ACCAACCCGTTACGGGTTTTTAGAATATTCGTTGTTAAGGATAATGGTTGGTTGTAAAGGTTATGAGTTGGTTGTGAATGTTACAAGTTATGGGTTTGTTGTGTAGGTTAACTTCACAACCAAAGAGTAGCATTCACAACCAACGTATATCCTTAACAACAAACCCGTGACCTTAACAACAAACATGTAATTAACCTTAACAACCAACCCGTAACCTTTACAATCAACCATTATCCTTAACAACGAATATTCTAAAAATATTGTGGTTGTAGGGGTTTGAACCCCTAATCTCTTGTCCAAACTCCCAAACTTTACCACTAGGCCAAGTGACCCAAAGTATTCATTCCACTCAAAAAATATATACATATATATCCCAACGTGTAACCTTCACAATCAACCCGTAACCTTAACAACCGACCCATAACCTTAACAACTGACTCGTAACCTTAACAACTGATCCATAACCTTAACAACTGACCTGTAACATTAGCAATTAACCCGTAACCTTAACAATTAACCCGTAACCTTAACAATCTCCCAATACAAATAAAAACAATTAGTTTCATCATCAACAACGAAAATAATAAAAAATAAAAACAATAAAATAATAATCACCTTCAATCATTTCAACATCATCATAGTAACATCATGATAAAGAGAGAGAGAGAGAGAGAGAGAGAGAGAGAGAGAGAGAGAGAAGGGATCCATAACCTTAACAATTGACCTGTAACATTAACAATTAACTCGTAACCTTAACAATTAACTCGTAACCTTAACAATTAACCCGTAACTTTAACAATCTCCAAATACAAACAGTTAGTTCCCCTCATCAACAATGAAAATAATAAAAAACAAAAATAATAAAATAATCCACATCAATCATTTCAACTATCATCTCAGTACATCATGATAGAGAGAGAGAGAGAGAGAGAGAGAGAGAGAGAGAGAGAGAGAGAATGATATTATGGTTTTTATATATTTTAATCTCTTGGGTTTTATATTTTGGGGGCTCAGAGAACAAAATCTTTATTTTTGGGGGCAAAGCACCCGTTGACAAAGTCTTTGGGGGGGGGGGGAGCACGTTTTCTTGGGTTTTGGGAGCTGGAAGCATTTTTCCCTAGTTTTTAATATATGGTTCATATATATGGGTACCCTTATTATTATGGCATTGCCTATTCCGAAATGGTGCAATTGATTATGGATTGGTATGCGTTTATTTCTGTTGGATAAGATATGTGTTTATTTGTATTTACGATTTATCTCCCCGGAGTCTATCTTCGCGGATCGATGTCGATCTTGGTCATAAAGGACCTCATACGTCAATGGACTCGCCTCCATACTGTAAATATCTGCACATATGATAATAAGAGTGTTTGTATTATGACGTATGCTAAATTAAAAGTAGAATAAAATTATAGATTTCATAAATAAGCATTGAATAATAAATGAAGTAGAATAAGTTTAAAAATAAAATAAAATATACCAATTAATTGCTATCTATTTGGATTGGTGGGACAATGAGATCTATTATGCCCGGTTGTCTGTAATATCCACACCTTTTTTTAGAGCTCCCTCCCGCCCTTCATCCATTGTACCTTTTATGCGTACTGATCACGGACGTCTGGCTTATTTCTTATATTCAGTCTTATATTCAGGAGGTAACACATGCGGCCCGTTATAGGGTAGACAGTAACGACTATCTATAATGTGATGAAAACACTACTTGTATGAATCTCTATAGTAGCTTGATTGATACCATTCAGAAGCGTATGTGTAATATGAAGTATTTGCCCCCCCCCGGCTAAATTGCTTAGACGTAACCGCTATAACATGTGAACATGGTAATTTTTACAATTTTGGTATATTACAAGTGCATGAGCATTGTGTCCCTCGTAAATTGACGGTGTAATTATGACTGTGATTGTTTGTAACCTGCCATTCATCTACAGCAAATCTAACAATCTTCGTTGATCTCGCTTGCTTGACACAAGCTCCTACAATCTCTTCATTTTTTGGTGCCAACAATGAGTCCCACTGTGCCCCATCCTCTCGTCGCTTGACAAAATAGTGATTGAGTCTATAAAATGTCCTCGAAACCAACGCCTGTATGGACATTGATCGAGCCCTCTTAAGTACCCATTTGAAGCTTTCAGAACAATTAGTTATCATCATGCAAAACCGATTCCCTCCATCTTTACTTAGTGCCCATCGGTCGACGTAATCACTCCCCAAACTACTTTCAATCCAGTCATGTGTAGTTGGAGATAGTTCCTTGATTTGATCCTGTATCCGATCATACACACATGTTTCGGGTGCACAACCCGCTTGCCAAAGAAGGTAAATGTATCTGACCAAAGCTCTTTTTAAAATTAGCTCTAATGTGTCGTAAGCAATAACGGTGATTGTGATGAGAGCCAAATCTTCTGTACAATACTTTTGGAATACCTTTCATCCTATCAGATATAAAAGTAATTTTCTTAGGAGACAACACATTAAAAATATATAATTGAATGCAAGAAAAAACCACTCCCAATTTTTACTGTTCTCGACCTCCACAACTGCGAAGGCTAAAGGAAATAAGCCACCATCTATATCTACTCCTGTAACAACAAGCAATACACCATTATATTTATCATATAAGTGTGTGTCATCAATGCTAAGAATCGGCCGACAAAATCTAAATCACTCGATCGAAGGACCAAATACCCAAAATATAGAGGTGAATTTATGAACTCCTAGATTGATATCTTTGGTTATGAGTTTGTATTCAGATCCATGATTACTTATTTTGATCGCATCAAGATATTGATGCAGTGTCGCGTAAGACTTCTCCTAATCTCTAAATATTTTTGTGATCGTAATTCTCCTTGCATTCCACGCTTTCCTATACGATATTTCAATGAACTTCGTATGTAGCACTCTATTAGTTATATTATCGGGCCTTAGTTCAAGCTGTATCTTTAATTTTGGCATAATCAATTGCGCTATGTAAGAGGCAGAAGCACCACTATGATCTTGCTCTAACATTGGATTGTTACATGTGTGAACACTACAGTATTCTGTGATCCTAAAATACCCATTATATTTCTTTCCGGCACATGCATATAACTTCCAAGGACATGCGTAATCAGCTTCATTTCCCTCGGCCCGACCTTTCCTTTGTGTATTCATAAAATAAATTGCTTCATAACTTATGCGATTGCTTTTAACTTGCTTGAATTTGACCAACTTTTTGATTGAGTAATCACGAATAGCATCAACCAATTGGTCCTTACTTAGTCTCGAATAAATCACCAACTCTGAAAGGGACGTCATCATCTCCTCTATGAGTTAAACTTTGACCAATGTGCATATCTTGTACTGTGGAAGAACGAATTTATTCATCATCTTCAACCTCGTCAGGGGGGGGTGCGGTTCTTCGTACTCAACATATTCATTATTAACATAAGCCTCATCGGGCCAATCCAGATTCTCTTTAATATCTTCACTCACAAATTACATGCTATCAATTGGTGCACTATCCTGATCTTCACCTTCAGAGGCGTTGCTTCTTTCATCCTCTTCAACTGTTGCCCCTCTTAACGGCCTCATATTTTCATAAAGGACTTCATTGTTCATGACATTTGATATTCCACCGAATGAAGGTGCACCACTGTGATATTAAAATTAAGTCTGCTCCATTTCACTCGAAGAAGAAAAAAAACCATCAGACTCAACTCCCAAATCTAACATGCGTGACAATTCTCTTGGAAGGTTGAATATCTAGCACGAACTATATGGAAACTTTTCAATAAACAATTCTATCGTTTGTTGCGACTTGTTTAAATTAAACATAATACTCATATGATGATCGTTTGAGATCTCAACTGTGGACGTTCTATCAAAAGTTATGGGCCAATTGCATATTATTCTTAGTTGGTACTCTCGTGGGTCAATTGCCGTAACTCGGTGTAATTCATTAACCAAGTCACAGTAACTATATGATTATGAGATCATTAACGGTGTCGTTACCCCTCCGACGTACATTGACATATTATTCATTACATAATTAATTTTCTCATCATAAGAGCAAGCAATAAAAATCATATTGCTCAACTTATTCAAAAGAAGATTATATCATTTATATGTAAAAAATTTAAATGATATTATCAGGGATCGAATAAGAGAGGAAAACCATATATGCAAATAATCTTATATAATTTTGACCAAAAACCTAATCCCTAGATTGAAAATCGTAAACCCTAGAATTGAGTATTCTATGTCCTAAAACTTTAATTTCAGCAATAACAATCATCATACCAAACATTCGAACCACCTAGAGAGAAAACCCTAGAAATTTGTTTTTGAGAGAAAACCCTAGATTTCTTCATGTTAAAAGAGGAGAGAAGGAAGAGAAATGACCTAGAGATCTTGAATAAACTTTTGATTCGAATTTCGGCAGCAAAAATGGGGTGAAAATTGAGATCTGATCTTGTAGTGCAAGAGAACGATGGAAGAGGAGAAGAGGGAGGCGGCTAGGAGAGATGGGTTTGGGGGAGAAAGGTTTTGGATGACTTATATAGGGGGCGATACCCAGAATAAGTAGTCGGGGTTGGCAACTCTGACTACTTTGAGACTTAGCCAATTCCCGACTTCCCTATTTGCACGAGTCTCTACTAAATGGTTGGGGTTGGGAACCCTGATCATTTTGGAATATACAATGCTAAAATGGTCGGGGTTCCCAACTCCGACCATTTTTGCATTGACTAAATTAGTCAGGGTTTCGGACCCCGACTAAATTGGCTTCTAAATAACAAGCGACCTCCTAAATAGTCGGGGTTACCAACCCCGACTATTTAGAAACGTGATTAAAAAAAATCGACCCACTTTCTCATCACGATGCTGACGTGACGCGAAATTGGGTTGATTTTTGTAAATAACTTTAAATAGGGTTGATTTTGAAGAATAAATTATAGAATGAGTTTAAATAGAAAATTTCTTCAACAACAAAAACATTAACTTTTTAAATTCCCTCTTCCTCTTCCATCTCCCACGACATCACGATCTTCTCACCGCCCCTTTCCCTCCTTTATACCTTTATTGCATTTGCTTACATTCTCTCTTTATTCCACTCCAAATATTATTTCATTCCTCCAAAGCAAACGGAGATCGATCCCTTCTCTATTTGTCTCACTCAGCCAACGAGTAAGCTTCATCATCCTCTAAATAGATCTCGGATTTTTCTCTAAGATCCATTTTATCTAGGGTTTCGATAATTCATAACACCTTTTTTTAGGGTTTTCTACTTTCCCCTTTTTTCTTTTTTTTAATGCGATTTTGTCCGAGGTTTATGATGTAGCGTCTGTTTCACGCTATGATATCGTTGCAATTATATCTGTGCTATTTGTGTTGAATTGTTGCCAGCAGTTTTTTTTAATTTGAAAATTTTAGCAATTTTTTTTTAATCTTTCTTAGCTGGAAATTTCATTGTTGTGGTTTTTGTGAACAAAAAAAATTCTTTTTTTTAAAAGTGTGTCTCGTATAAAATTAGGAAATCTGGTGCTATGCATATTTTATTGAATTTTGAGCTATTAAATTCCAATTTTTTTTGTGTCTGATTCCCCCTTTGAAGAAAAAAGCAACTTTTTTTTAGCAACTGGAGCATGCGTCGCTGGATTTCATCTTGGAATCATTTTCCACAGTACCCTGTAAATATTGGTTTTCATTTGCATTTCAGGTCCTGCTGATTTTAAGTTTTGGTGCTTGTCATGGTGGCCAACGGTCTTTTTTAGGGAATTTACAATTATGAATTTTTTTAACAATGCGGAGCAGCTCTTATTTGCAAGCATTTCTCTGTCTTCCTGATTCCAGAGTTGGAACGACATGGCAAAACTTGCGACTCTTGGGCGCAGGTTAATTAATTATATATAAATTGTAATTTCATGATGGTCCCTATACTTTTGCTTTGGTTTTAACATTTCTGGTTCGATTATATTATGATTCGCAGTGGATTTCTTAGGCACTCAAATGGAAGTTTGAGACTTATTATAACGACGACCATTGGCGTCGTGGTTGGCTTCTTCAT